CACGTGGTATTTCCAGTACGATACAAAGGCATCAGTGCCAACTTTAACCCAAGAAGAAACCTCTGTGGCACAATTCTCAATACAAAGGTTAAGAATATCAATTCAAGGGGCATTTCGAAGAAAGTCACGAAATGAATTCCAATCAGTCCGCTGGTAATAGAATGAAGTCATTTGTATAATATGTTGCTGTCTATTAGACGACTCAAAATAAACACCAGATACAACAGCGGGTTTGAATTGCTAAGAAGACAGATTTGTGATGCTCGATAAAAATTTGGAGAGAAGGCAGGGAATATGAGAAAGAGTAATACTAGTAATAGCTTCAATTGTATATGTAATAGCAACAGAAACTGAGCTATTACATGACATCTTTTCTTCTTTTCGGCAGCGAATGCTGGACGATTTTCTCAAGGATGAAGAAGAGACTCGAGGCAACGGACATGTGGTTCTACAGAAGGATGCGAAGTAAATAATGGACCGAACATGTGAGCAACGATGAGGTCTCAGAAAGGTTGTAAACAAGGAGGAGGCTTATATTTAACATCAGGAAAAGACAGCTGAAGTTTCTGGGACACATAAGGAGGGCCTAGAGAATCTGACACTCTCAGGTCGAATAGAGGGAAAGAGAGACAAAGAAAAGGAGTGCGTGACATTCCTGGCGGGCTCTAAGCAGGTGGATGACAGAACGTGGTTTGGGGGAGATAGCAGAGTAAATGAACTTGCTGAGAGCTGCAAGGGATAGAGGCAGGTGGAAAGCAAGGTCTAAGCAAGGACATGGCACATCAAAAGAAAGAAGCCGAAACACTAAGAGTGGTAGTAGTAGTATTAGTAGTAGTAGCAATTGCAGTAATAGCAATAGTGGAAATAATAGAAGTAATAGCAGCAATAATAGTAAATACTACTAATAATAGTAAATAATAATAAAAATAAAATTATTAGTATATAATTATAGTAAATAATAATAATATCAAATAATAATAATAATAATAATTATAGTAAATAATAAAATAATAATAGTAAATATTAATAAAAAATATAATTAATAAAATAAATAATAATTGTAAATAATAATAAAAATAATAATAGTATTAGTAAAAAATTAATTAAAATTAAATGATTCAAATATTCATTAATTTTAACAAAATAATTTTTAAATTTCAATAGTTATTATAAAGCCAGAAAATTAAATAATTTTAGATTAAAATAAGAAAAATACTTTTAGATTAAATAAAATTTTTGTTGTAATGATAATAAATGAGTGATACAATTCTTATTAATTAATGTGTAGCTTGGGAAGGCGAAACAGATTCATAACTTTCCCAAATATATTTTCGCATCACTCGATATAACAAACCCGACTGAGATTGAAACTCGGTTCTTCGATCCCAAATTCCGAGCCATTATCCATTAGAAATTCTGTAGATTCAAGTTTACATAACATGGTATTCCCAAGCGGCCTTCCAACTGGGTAATGACCACGTTCGAAGTTGATTAGTTCGGTTATTGTACAGGAACCGGTGTTTCAACGTGATATGGCCGTAAGCCTATCATATCAACCACACCTCCAAGCAGCTTACAGCATCTGATATGTCTAAGCAGTCACTCATATAAAGGGCTTAAGGTCACATCACCGGTTCAAGTACAATCACTAATATTAAGCAATGTTGATCCTGATCTGTCACTCTTTGTTGCTTGTTGGTTTTCGACAGCTTATGAGGTACCCACTTGCTTAACGTGTACGTCTTACCTATGCTGCGCAATTGAAGTCTGGCAGTTTTATCAGAAACCTGGAAGCGTTCGGCAGACCCGCCACAGGTTTGGCTTTTGTCTTTCCTTATGGCCGCCTTCAGGGTCTCGTCATCCAGGACCTGCGGCCGGTTACTGCGTGGTTCATCACAATGTACCAGATCTCAGGACTTCTGGTACCAATGACTGGCGGTGCGTTTACTCACAGCATTGTCCCCAAACCTTGACTTCGGCGACTTGATACGTCTACGGAGAAGACTACTTAAAGTCATAAAGCAGATAATCCCCAACGAACTGCTTCTACAGCACCATGTTTCCTCGTCGCTGCTCGAGCTATTACTGTTGTGTGTACGCAACGCACCCACATTGGCCAGGAGCAATGTCACCTACCGCCGCCGCTTTCCTAGCAGATGACGATTTCATTCGCGTATCTATGATCGGTTCTTTCCACACGACTTAAAAATCGGCAACGATTTTTGGTTAGCTTATACTTAATCCCAGTATCTCAGTATAGTTAAGGGCCATACGTGATCCACGCTTGGGTGATAAGGTCTCTTTCAATTCACGACTGACTACACGTTTCTTTCTGCGTTAGACTGGTTGCCATGGAAGGCTATAGGATCCATCTTGTCCTGCTATTTAGCCCATAGCTGGGGGTGTTGAGGAAGAAAGATGAATTCATACATTTCCCAAGGATATTTTCACATTAGTGAATAAAATAAACTTGACTGGAATTCGAACTCAGCTCTCCGGTTTTTCATTGCAAAACGTTCTTCATGTTTATAACAACATCAATAAGGATGATTGCGATGGTGATTTTAAGCACTTCCGGTTCCACTCGGGAATGCTGGGAGCAAAAAGCGATCCAGCGGGAGGTTGAAAAAAAAAGTTGTTAAGTTAACCACGTCTCCTGACGACATTTGGGCTGCTCCGGTCAGTCTCATATAATTTATCTTTCCACCATAAGCTCAACATGGAATCAGAGGCGGGAATTCTTTCTAAAAGAAGAAAATTATTTTCTAGTGAAAGTACAGAATGATCTGAAAAAAAATATTATTATCAAAAAGAAAAAGAAACAATGTTCAAGAATCCTTTTACTCTACAAATCCTGGAAACTAGAAGAAATGGTCGCAGAGATTTTAACGCTTTCGAAAAGCATCAAAACTCTGGGAAGATGATAGCAAAACTCAAGTCAGTACATTAATATATTGCATGGGAAGCGGAGCCGAAAATATATTCCGCAGATTTTCTTTCTTACGACGAGAAAACGCGACTGGAAACGCCTCAGTTTTGGAAAAAATAAAATCTATGACTATTTCATGCCTAAAAGATATATTATTCTTGAAATTGTAAAATTCTATATTGGCGTTCAGTTACCAAGAAAACCACCAGGAAACCTAATTCACGCATTGCACGAATTAGCAGAAGCATGCAAGTTTAAAAAAAAATGATCAAATTAGACACCATCTTCTTGTGATAAGACTACAGCATAAAGATCGGTTTTATTTTCAGTGTAACACCCGCGCTTAGTTCGCATTAAAAATTTCCCGAATACTTACACGCTGCATTCGAATCTGGCTTGATAAATTTGATAAAATCTACCGTTTTGGAGATATCGACAGTGAAATTTCGGATTCATTCGCGTCTTTGGCGGCAGCCATTACTTGCGTTGTATGCATACATTCGCTTCGGAAAGCTAAACGCGGAAGACTACAGAAAGCTATGTTCGGAACTGATCTTTCTTGTCTAAATTTGTCTTAATTGCTGCGCACGAGAACTATTTACGTAGACACGCCCAGTTTGCGCAATGATAGCTATACCGATAACTATTCTGCAGTGGATGAATACAAACAACGCCAGTAATGGCTGCCCGCGATGCGAATGAATCCGAAATTTTAATGTCGATAACTCCAAAAACGGTAGATTTTATCAAATTTCTCAAGCCAGATTCGAATGGAGCATGTGCAATTACATATAATTGTAAGTATTTTGGAGATTCTTAATGCAAACTGAGTACGGGTGTTACACTGCAAATTAACCTAAAGATCTATCCGAAAGATTATAATTCCTGATTTGGAACTCAGGAATGTTGGTCAGTGAGCAAATAATATCTTAAATGGAAGAAATACAAAAGAAAAATGGAGGCGAACTAAACACCCTGAGAAACCTACGAGATACAAACTTAAAAAGAAAATACTGAAGCAGAAACAACAGCTGCTGTAGATGTGAAGAGAAATCATGATTTTAAAAACTGTCGTGCGAATGGAAAACCCTGCAAGAAATGAAGGTAAATGAAGCATTTCGTTGTAGCCTGTAGAACTAAAATGAATACGATACAGGCAGTTAATGAAGAAAAGAAATATTTCCTAAGAGAGCTGACAAATAAAATTGAATGAATAATGGTATAAAAATTAAAAAGAATTGTGTAGTTTAAAAAGGTGCCGCCATAAACATTCTCTCAACCGAAACTTACAAAAAAAAAAAAAAAAAAAAAAAAAAAAAGATGCACCTTTATCAAAACCATTAAATGGTACCTTCACAAGTCCTGGGGGAATAATTAGGTGTATTGGAAAATCTAATACCTCTACAGAAGGTAAGGACAAATATTTGGAGACAGACGTCATTAAATGTGTAAAGAGAGTTAGCTTATTGTCTAGGCAAACGTTTGTAAAAAACAAATGTATTTAGTGAATGCTTTAGACAGCATAGAACACGGACTTCCTTTGACGCCTGAGTGGGTATGAATAGGGATCCATTTAAAATAATTTTCGGAAAAAAAGGCTTTTTATCCGGCTGTGTAACAGCAGCAAGGCGTGTTCCATTCCCCTGTTTACCAATGATGAAGGGAAAATTAAATAGACTAAAAAACCAAGGAACTACAGAAAATGTTTACAGAACCAACTGACTGATGTGCACCTGTAGTACCCAGAATAAAAAGAAACGGAAAAGTCCGAATATGTGTAGATTTGAAGAAGCTGAGTCTAGCGGTGTCATGTTACTAAATCTTGATTATATTTGGCCTAAACTAAATAGAGCTAATTCTTTTCTAAATTGGAAGCTACCAACGGATTCTATGAAATTTCTTTAAGTAAAGAATTCTATTTACTCACGACTTTCATTCCTCTTTTTGGGAGATATTGCTTCAAAAGATTACCTTTTGGTATAACATTAGCTCCGGAAATATTTCAAAGAAAGATGTCAGAATTATTGAAAAATATTCAAGAATTTGAACAAATTTTCGACGATGTTCTAACCTATGGTAGAAGTAAAGAAAAACATGATGATGGACTAAAAACCCATTCTTAAAACGTTACCAAAACGGACTCAAGCTTAATAAAGAAAAATGTAAATTCAAAAAGACACATTTAGAATATTTTGGACACATAATTTCTGGATATGGTATTCAACCCAACAAGTTACCTGCACGTATAAATTTTAGTAAACTACGACATATAACCGGCATGTTTAGATACTTAGGCAAATTCTTACCTAACTTGTCTGAAACAATAAAATCAACGATGGAATTATTGAAAAAGGATACTGCATTTGTGCGAGATTAGCCACAAGAGAATTATTTTTAAAGAGTAAAAGAATTACTAACTCAAGTACCAATTCTATCGTACGATGATCCAACCAGACATATAGCAATTAGCGCTGACGTTATGGTCTCGGAACAGCTTCTTTTAAATGAATAGATGGCAGTTTAAGAATAATAGCATTTGCCTAACACAAACTCAGTAAAACTGAATGGAAAGACAGATGAACCAGGGATAGTGATAAGCTTAAAAAAATAAATAAATAAACATAATAGAAAAGAGTTATTGCCCTTGGATTGTAAGTAAAACAATCTTTGATTTGTAAATATTCATCTTGTAAATTGGAAAAAAAATAGAAATAAATTAACGAAGAAAATAAATCATGTCAGGAAGAAGGATGTTTATAACAACATCAAAAATGTTGCTTATGATGATGATTGTAAGCACTTCCGGTCGCATTAGTGAATGCTCCGAGTAAAAGGGACCCAGCGGGAGTTTTAAAAAGAGTTTTCCACGTCCCGTTTCGTCTTTGTGTTTCTTCGACATTGCAGAGGCCAGTTTCATATAATCTATCATTCCACTCTAAGCCAAATCTAACACTTCATTGAACCAATCAGTTAAAGTATCATCATCATCATCATCATCACCACAACCACTACCAGTGAGAGGGGGAGGGAATGTAGGAGAATGTAAGAAATTAGCATAAAGAGAGCTATAACTGTAGCTCACGGGCAACTTCGAGTCAGTGGACGTAGAGTATCTACGACTAGTAAGTTTCATCATCATCATCATCATCATCATCTTCATCATCATCATCATCATCATTCTCTTGACTTATGTAATCGTATGGCGGATCCGAATGCAGAAGCCACACTAATTCTTTTCTACAACGGTCTATCAACGGCAGCCATGAGCAATTCTGGTACAGACATACCTTTCCATTGTTTGACATTTGTCCAACAAGGTTTTGCGTTGGCGACCTCTCCTACGTCCACCTTTAACGCTGCCTTGCATGATGGTCTTGCACAGGCAGTTGTGTCTAGTGAACGTGTCCAAACCATGCCATTTTCCCCCGTTTGACAGTGGCGAGAAAAGGTTTCCGGTGGCCCACACGGCTTTCAAACCTTTTCAGCATAAACCCATTCATTTTTTTTTGTTTTCAATAAAAAAAAAAGGCCAAGGAGTTTTCACATGCATTTATAAATCAACGCACATGCAACCTATTCTATAATATAAATCCCTGTCTAATTAGTCGTGTGTCCGTTAGAGAGACACTAAGCAGAAAGATGAGATGGAAAATAATATTATCCCGTGCTTTTTTTTAATTTATTAAAATATTTTTTCAGGAGATAATAATGATTTAATCATATAAGTTTAACCCACAATTAGGGAGATAACTGTTTAACCCACAACTGGAGGGAGAGCATACGGATTCATACATTCCCACAAGGGTATTCAAGCGTAAAAGAATATAACAAACTCGACTGGAATTCGAACTCGACCCTCCGCTTTTTCATTATAAACCGATAACTATTGCACAACAAAGCACAGCCCGGGATCAGCGAGATTAGAATTCACATTGTTAATATACATGTGTAATATTTAATATTGCAGCAAATGTTACATTTTCATTAATATTTATATATTGGGAATCGTGAAAGCCCGCTCGTATCAAATATTGAAAGTGTCCTCTCAGCAGTGAATGCTTTAATAAATTACATGTCATGAAATAAAACGGTAGCTATTGAAAGCGATACAAAAAAAAAAATGTCATTCCGATTTCCTTTGTAGCTTATTGATCCCCGGTCAGTCAAACAGGAATATTTGCATTTCAGTTTACAATATTAACCTAAAAATATATATATATATATATTTTTCATCGTCAGATTATTGTTATTATTTTCGGTTTTATTTATTTATTTATTTATTTTCGATTCATAATAGAAAAAGGAAAGAGAGCGGCATCTTTATTATAGATGTTATTAACATGGACGACATTGAAAACGTTATTTTACGAGATTTATCGAGATTTCCTTCCAAGTCTGATTTCTGTGTTACGACCGAGCGTGCATTTTTCTTGTTCAGCTGTGCAACTAAAAGTTGGGTGGGGGGGTGCAGGCAGATGGGTGTCAGTTTGAAGATTTCTGATGATTGCTGTAATAACGATACATTTTTAGGGAGCAGTCACAAAAAAAAATAATAAAAAATAAATAAATAAAATAAAGTAAATAAATAAAACGACACCCGGAGTTATATATTGCATCACAACATAAAATCGAAATAGAGATCTGGACAATTCCGTCATTAATAAAAAAGAAATCAATCCTTGAAGCAAGCAAGAAATTGTTTTATTTAGCTATTTAGAGAATGCAATAATAAGAGCCTATAACGAATCATAAAGTTTTAAGGAGACAGTTAATGGCTGGTGCTTGGAAAGTGAGAATAACTATCTTGATGATATCCAATCTCCAATGCCCATGATAGGCATTAATTTATCTGTTATATACTAACATCTTGACACAACGGAAGATAGATACAGAATAACTCACCAAAACGCATGCTAGAAATGTTTTGTGTCCAAAAAGATTTTATATATAAATATGCCATACGAGAAATTATATATATATATATATATATATATATATATATATATATATATGTGTGTGTGTGTGTGTGTGTGTGTGTGAGTGTGTGTGTGTGTATAAATAAAAAGAAAAGAATAGTAAGATATATAATCCTGTGTTCTTATTGATATTTTTTATTTTTATTTTTACAAAACTCTGCTCAATGAAAATTTACAGAGCATAAATATTATAAATTGTTTTTTCGCTACACAGTAATAACCATGTTTCAAAAATGGAAGCTAAAAACTTCAAATTTAATTATATATTTTATTTCCCAATGTATTTTCCCTCTCTTCCAGCAACTCTTCAACTGGTAATGGATAGTTTTTAGTTTTTGCAATATCAGTTTCACCCCTGATGATGATTTCAGAGAGATGGAAAGTACTTTGGTAAAATAAAAGTGATTTTCACTGTGACAGTGAATTTCTTGCCTTATTTGATTGTAATATACTGAAAAATATTTATGAAAAGATTATAATAAAAATAAGCAGATATAATGCTTGTGATTTATTCAATCAGACATATATAATAAAATATATTAAAAAATTAAAATCTTCAGACACACTGGGTTGTAGATTAATATTCTTTTTCGTTTTTTTATTATTATTTCATTTAGATTCCTCGACTGGTTTCGTCCAAAATGGCCATCATCGGGAGGAGAAATATTTCTGCTTGCCGGTAGCAGTGAACTACAGAAATGAATGTCTTCATGGAGAAAATGAACTTTTGTCTGTAGTTTTCATTTGTTTTTTTTATTTTTATTTTTTTATCTTTTTAAGATGAATCTTTTAACATTCCTTGTGTTGGTCAAACAGTCTCTTTTAAGTTGTTACTTGAGATAAGAGCTGGATGGATCTATGCTTCCCTCAATTCCCGTGGTCAGTTTGACAGTTTTATTGGTCCTGGAGAGGGGATGTGTCTCTGTTTAGTGTTTGTGTGTGTGTTATTTGGTTCTTAGGATGTGAGTGAGTATGATATGTGTAAGTGTGTGTATTGCTGTGGGTGTGTGTTATTTTGGCTCATTAGTGAGTGAGTGAGTATGATGTGTGAAAGTGTGTATATTCGTGTGTGTGTGTGTGTGTGTAATAAGTGTGAGGCCTCAACACCTCCGAAAGCATGTCTATATATATATATATATATATATATATATATATATATATATATATATATATATATAACACTTGTATATCCTTGCTTAGGCAATCTCCTAATGATCTGGATGGAGCGGCTTGGGTTAGAAGTTGTAGCTCGTCGCGGCACAATCCTATGGGTAAGGTGGCGTAATGGTTAAGCAAGCTTGTCTCGCTAGAACAATTACGACTGAGTAGTGAGTTCGATCCTCACTGGGTGCCCCTGACTTTCGGCCTTGTGCCACATCCGAGCTGTCTTTGGAAAATCACTATGGGCACCTCGAGATGGTGTAATGGCTAGCAAGCTTGTCTTGCTAGAGCAATTACGACTGAGTAGTGAGTTCGATCCTCACTGGGCACCCCTTACTTTCGGCCTTGTGCCACATCTAAGCTACGCTTGAAAAATCACTATATATTGGTTTGAGTTGTTTTTGTTTTATGGCATATCAACCTCAATGGGTTATTTAATGCCGACAAAATTTTCATTGCTGGTAATATATTTTTCTTCATAAATCTATTTCTGGGAATATTTTCCTTGAAGAAATCTATGGCTAGTCATATTTTTTCTAAAGAGTGTATAGCTGTTTGTATTGCTGGTATTTTTTTAAGTATTGCTGATAATAATTTTTCCTTCAAAAATTATTGCTGGTAATAATTTTTTTTTATTACAAAATATTTCTGGTATTAAAACCTATTTTTACATAAGTTTAGATGTTAACTATATGCCCATAGCTGGGATCCTAACAGGTACTACCACCCCGGTTCAGGATAGACCTGGGAAAACCAGCAATTAAGAGGTGGTCCCATGACCCTCAAAATCTCCTGATCAGAGGCCTTGCTGCTGGACGTAGTTTATCGTCTTACCCAGGGCGCGGATGTAATTTATCGTCATATCCAGAACGCGGATGTAGTTTATCGTCATACCCACGTCTTACGCAGGGCGCAGATGTAGTTTATCGTCTTACCCAGGACGCTGGTGTAGTTTATCG